TATTATATGATGAACGAAACAAATTACAAATCAGTTCATCGACTGAAACATATGTCACATTACGACCTCGAAAAGGGATTATATTCATCACTGTAAAAACAACAATTTACGTTTATTAGAAACCGACGCAGCCATAATCATTTAAAATTGCAGAAAACGTTTCATATTAAGAAATAAAAACCTTAGTTCTTGCAATTCCAGGTTTCGCCTTAGTCACTCAGAATTTTCCGTTGTACTATGTGTTTACTGCACGTTGTCGTACGAATGTCACGTGGTTATTCTCGATGAAATAAACATGTATAGCTAGCTACATTCAGCTGTCGTATAGAAAAATAACACTCGTCGAGATTCCTATTTATCTTCCGTGGTAAACTTTTATCTTTGTTGTCGGGTGATCCAGACTAAAGAACACGCAAACAACTACTACAGCATCTAATTATTTTTAGTTGGACGTAAACTGAGTGACTACATTCAAGACCAGTATGTTCTGGTATATTCTCAAATCTGCTAAAAATACATGGCATAAATTTCTAGAATATACTATCCCAGGAAACATACATCTAATAAATAAAATATCTGAAAAAGAAAAAGATACAATTATATTTCTGGCAATATATATAACTATATATAACTTTGAACATGCTTTTCGTTCCTCAAATAATGTTCCATTCTGTCCCCACTTCGCATCAACTGTTCGTAATACCATACGTTACGTAAATCAGTGCAATAAATGATGAAAGAAATGATATACTTTTTGATGGCAAAACAAATCTTGTGGTCCTCTCGCAGTCACATTAAATATCTACTGCAGAAGGTCTGATAAACAACATTGTTGACTGTACAAATTATAATAATGAAATGGTTGTATGTGTGGTGTGGTGTGCTGTAAGCGCAATGCGTGTTTTTTTCTTTTGCGCAGATAAATCACATTTATTTCAGTAAGCTTTAAGCTGTACGATTGTGTCATGTTGGTTTAAATGTAATAACATATGACACACATATAAAAATATGATACTAGTCGGGTTTGATTCGTCATTTCCTTTTCAATTCTGGGACAAAATAACAATTTCTATTTCTTAGACAGACTGGAGAAAACTGGTTAGTTTATTTTAAAATTATTATTTTATTATTTAAATTATTATCATAATGTACGTTTTGAACAGAACGCAGATCGGGGTGTCACATGGTGTAAGTTGGGGTTTTTTAGAGTTAGTAATCGCTTGGGACTGGACTAGACTGCACTGTGCCGTGTGTTCATCCATATGTGATGCTGTCAGCTTGAATTCCAGTTTTCCCCATACATACGATAAAGTAACCAGTTAAAACAACGTTATTGTGTGGCTGCCTTCGCTTGATCGATTGATGTAGACTCAGTTGGTTTTGTGAAAAGTATTTTCTTAGTAGTAGCGGTGTTGCAGCACCGGGAAAGATATAGGCAAGGTAATTCAAATGCTGCCTTATAATGCAGCTACAACTTGTATTGAAATCTATAGTCATCGTCCTCCCCCGTTTATGATGTTGATTTCCGTGTCCAACATCCCTTTACCTTGTATTTTAGCTATCACAAAGTCATTTGTCGTCATACTCCTTGAAATTCCCATAGGAGAAATTGCGTCTCTTGCAAGGGCTGTACATCCTCTCAGAAATCCTCTTCTCCCTGTTGGTCCATGTATGTCTCCAGTAAATTCAATATGAGAATAAAAACACTAAAATATTACGTGGCATTGTTTATCCTATTTTTACATAGTCATGGGCCTACCGAAAACGTACGTTTCATCTAGCATGCGATTACAAGCCTCGCTGATAGCTGGTATTACCATTGGTTTTATAATAGGAAGCTTGGTGAGTATATTGAAGCAACGGTAGATCAATATAAACTAGAAATGTCGAGCGTGACACTGCACGGACAGGGGAATGAGATTTGTTCTATGTGGTTAGGGATTTAAAGCATCATGTTTAACAGTTTGATTGAGAAAAGACGAGCAAAATTAACACATATAAAGGGTTCATCAAACGTTCTACCCATCACCATGAAACGATATATTCGCAGTAATAGTTTGTCCCTCTTACAATTGCCTAACTTCAAAGCCAAAACAAAGTTAATTTTGAAACTGAAGTACCAAACGGAAGCATTCTGTATGAAATATAAATCTGTTCAGTTGCAAATATATCTCTATCAGTGTAAGGTTATGAAATTATATATCCTTATTTTTAAAACAATATCTCCAAATTACATAGTGTCACATACATTTGTTGTTCACGAATTGCATTTTTTCTTGGTATCCTCGTAATAACCTCATAGTATATATATTAATAATATGAAAACACATTTTATGCCATATTAAACAACAAATGCTTTTAACAGACATTTTGGGTAATATAATTTAATTCAAGCGAATGTATAGTGTTAATAATGAACATATTTATTTGCTAACTAACTGATATTGAGAATTACTGAGAACAAAGGTAGTGGTCACTTATATTCAAATTTATCATTTAAAATGGAGATGACATTCGACTCCACACATAATGTAAATTTTATTAAATTCTTTAATTTGTCTCAATATCGAAAAAACAACAACATAGGTTTGATTGAAAATTTGCAATTCGGCAATTAACCACTCACTGTGAGCATATATTTATACAAACCACACTTCTTTTATACCGTTCAGCATACTACGGAAAACCATTTTTTTCCGGATGTGGTACACATTTGTGGAATAATTCAAATACTTGCTGCGGCACATTAGCAAGGCAGCAAAATGGGAGATTTGATTATAAATTTGATTATAAATAATATTTCTGGCTTTCTAGTGAAAATTTAAATGTTTATTACTTTGTTGGGAGTATGTTTCAACCGCAGCCCCCAAATCCTGGGAATTACACCAGTGCATCGTGGGAAATGTAAAGTGAATGGTTCGCCCAGTCGTTTACTTGATTCACAGCTGTTATAATTTCACCCGGATCATGCCACTATGCATTACGCTATTATCCGTGCCTCATATGGGGTCAGCTCTGGTACTGACAAATATGTGTCATTCATTGATACAACCAAACCAAACTGCCTTTTTCAGGGCCATCAAAAAGCGAACTACCTTATATTATTGTCTATGTCTTGCATCATGGAGCTCTTTATTTAGTTCAGTGCTTGCACAAAACAACGCATCGTCATAAATAATTGTGGTTTATTTGAATGACTTAAATAATTTAGTTATCGTACAACGTTTGCCATAATGTGTCTTGGCGGCTAGGCAATAATGACGTTACGCATTGTGATAAAAACAAGGCGCCCACAATATATATGAATATATAAGCGACTCGTACTTACAAAAATGTCTTTAAGACGGACACGCTTACATATTTTCTCAGAGTACGTAATGTTGTCGGACACCAATTACTACCGTAACACCTGAGCTGAGCGGAGCGTCCACTCACCGTAGTCAACAATGATGGTTATATTAAGTGTGAAACAATAATAACATAGTAATTTCATACAGAATTTTTAAGTGGAGACCAAAATCTTGATTTACCGTTAGCCTTGATATTACATATACAACTAAGAGGACCAAATTTCAAAATTGAAGGTTGACTGTGGCAGACAAACTTGCGAAAATACACTCCTCAAATTACGTCAGCAATACGAGGCACGCAAATTTGAATACATCGTGTTGGCTGGCGAGCTCGCAGAGGCAAATTTGTCCAACTTCATTACTACGACATCTAGAAAATATTTAGCAACAAGAATGAAAGCAACTATTTAAATATTATGGTGCGCGCAACTTACTGGATCGGGTTCACTCTATCTGCTCGAGCTCGTAACTTAGCAACTAGTTCTGGATTCCCCATTCCGTTCAGCAGGAGAACACAGTTTATCTGCTTATAATAGTATTAGCGCCATTTTCCAACTGATTAAGGCACACTCTCACAAGATATATATATATATATGTATATATATATATTATAAACTCAGAAAAGATCACAGATAAACACGTTATATCACCTACTGAAAATCGATATATTTATAAATGCGTCATTTCGTCAATACGACACAATAACTAATCATTTTGTGGTCCGTTTATTTTTTATGCACAGAAAATTAATTTGAGATATTAATGTTATATCGCAATGCCTACCCTCACGTTTCCCATTTTAGATCTGTGTCCCACTGAAATGGGCAGTTATTGTGTTTTTTTCTGAAAATGATTACTCGTATCCAAGTAAATTTTGGATATTTCTCGTGTTGTAACCACGCCCACTTATCCTGAAATGGTCGACTGTTTCCGGATTTCCGACGCAAAATGTGAGAGGAAGTCATACCCCTGAGCCGTAATGGTACTGGTAATCATTCAGTATACTTTTAAACGATATACATTTGTTTTCTTTTTTTTTGTCTATTTTTTTTTTTATTTGAGAGAGAGAGTTTTAAGATGTTGTGTTGTGGGCAGTTGCAGTGAAACGTATAGTCATAGTGTAAGTAAGTAAGACTAGCCCATGATCACCGAGGCGGATTTCAGAAGAAGGAGAGAGACGTCCGGCAAGTGTTTCAAATGAGTTGACTTTTTTTCGATCCTGATCGTCCCTTAAACCATTTAGTCCCTGTTAAGTAAAAGCTAGCAATAATTTTGACAGTGACACGAAAATGAAGCTTTGGACAAACAGGAAATTACACAGCCCTTACACACTGCTAATTGTTTTCATTTTCGAAGGCTAAAAGTTTCTGAATTGTATTAAACACTATGTAAAGACATTTCGTTTTCGACACATTTTATTAAATTTATTGTTAATACATGTCTTGTTAAACACATAACATAGTTTGTAATTTCATTCAGCTTCTTTCAGTCATAATTTAAGAATTATTATTAATATATTTCTGAATTTTCCTGCGAGGTGTTTTCAAGGTGCTCCCCAAAATGAAAGAGTTTAACAATGTCTTTTTTGCTCTGTATGATCGGCTCACTTTGGTCATGTGTTCCGCTGTTGCGGTCATATTGGTATGCACGATGGCTACTAGAACAGTTGCTAGAATGGGAAAAGCAGTTGAAAAGAGTGATGGATATGTAATTGTTGAATTTGTGTTTGTGTTAAAGATTGGAAATACTTTGACAGACGACTGTTTGCGTGTGTTCATGCACAGAAATATAACACATGTATTTCTATCACGTTATTAGAATCCTTTGATACGTGAAAAACATAGTCCAATAGATCAGTATGTGCGTCTTACACCGACAAGGAAAACGGCGGTTGCACAGATTAATTGCAGCGAAGTATGTCCACAAGAGGTGAAGAGCGAAAAACCGAAACCCGTGATTGCCAAACCAAAGAAAAGCCACGACCAAATAAAGCCAGTGAACACAAAAGTCGTCTGCAGTGAAATATGCCCACAAAAAGTGATACCACCTTCCGTGACAAAAACAGAAAGTAATAAACATACGAACAGTGACATGTATCCATACAACAAATATAACAGTTATGGAATGGAATGGGCAGCAATTGTTGACGAATTAGAATGGTCTAACTCCCATCGAACTGGAAAAACGACAAAACAAAGAACACCTTTCGATGCCGATGAAGGCTCCCTTGGAATGACATCACCAGAAAAGACAAGGTATGTGTCATAAAATTGTGTGTAAACAGGGAATTGTAATATGACGCAAACACTCCCGAATAGAGCAAATGGATTTATATTGTTGACAAAAAGGACACAGCTTTAACAATCACAACGCGGATACACACAATATATATCAGATATCTCAGAGTACATGCTTGTGACTCGTCTGAATATGTGACAAAACAGTTATTATTCAATATAGAACTACATTCTGTCCTCTGCTGTCTCTGGAATATTTAGAATACATTTTATAAACATATCAAAACATATATTGAATTGTTATGAATAGCAGAAAGGACAAATATTTTCCATTAGGTCTGCGAAATTTATCATATTTATATATCAGCACAAAGAGGCTTATAACTTAGGTATTCATATTCCAAATTATGCAGACAATATCTGACTATTCAAAACGGCATCAACACAATCTCAAATGGGGAAATTATTCTTGTGACTTGTTAATGTTGTGAACTTCTGTTTAGACAAGGCAAATCACACATTCAAATGATTCTGATAAACTAACAGGCGTTGAATGTTGATAGTATATGTGCCAACACAGTATGTCAGCTCTAAACACTTGTCACATGGTGTGGCAAGATGTCTTAATAACACTTGTTTCAATAAATGGGAGTGTGCCTCTAACTTACATTGGCAAAATAACTAATTACTAATTGCAGCATATCTTGATGTCATTTTGATAATCAATATAATCATGAAGATCTAAATAGTTAATCTTGTTTTTATCATCTACATCTATTTTCCAAAATTAGAGTCGGTGTTCCACAGAATCAACCAGAGAATTAGTACACTCCCTCAAGATTTGATTATTGTAATATTTTTCTCATTGACACTGTATAGTAAATAGCACAATATATAATTTAATAAATTACATGAAGTGCGTAATATAACGTGTATTCAAACTGACAAGTACACCACAGAAAACACTCAAAAAATAAGAAACAATAGACAAAAACATCACAGTCCTACAAAACAAACGACCGACAATAAATCCACAACAACAAAACGAGCAACCGACAAGCACCTTGCAGCACATAGTCGAATCATTAAAAGAAAGATATATGGATATACATGAAGTGTTAGCGGTAGGCAAAGACTACACTCATACAACATCTGACATCCGGTGATATTAATGCTATTTGAGATCACCACCATATCATATTTGAGCGTGAACGCATTATATCAACCTAAAACACTGCTTTGCCTTAAGTTCATCCTCAGCATAGTCTTATCATGTTTTACGTCGCGGTGTGGGATTTAATATAGCTCTGGGTTTTAATGATTCACATACAAACTATGTTGCAATTGATTGATTATTTAATTGTATGTTCCAATTAATATCCTATTGAACAACTTGTCACCAGTGTGTGCACCATTATTGTTCACATCACTTCTATTTTCATATTTTCAACGAAACTCTAAGGTGGTCTATTCAAACAGACTTAGGGAGAGTAGTTATGCAATGTTGTGAGAGCATTGTGTGTTAACGGCCAACCATGGTTCGAATCCCATGTTGCACGTAATCTTGTGTCACCTTAGAACTGATGACTTTGGATATCAAGTTCAAAATGTGGCTACTGTTCTAATCTATTTTTTGTTTATGTTTACAGAGTGAAGTTCTATGACAAGAAAGCAATCCAGAAAGGGAGCTTCATCCATCTAGTTGTTGAGACATTTGACGAAAATGGCCGTAAGAGAGACAAAGGTGGTGATTATTTTTCATCCGTTATGTCAAATATTAATATGCAGAAAAGCACAGCGGGTCGTACAGTCGACTATGGAAATGGGACATACTCTGTATATTTATATGCAGCATGGACCGGAAAGGCTGATATCACTATTGCACTAACTCATACCAGAGAAGCTATCAATTATCTAAAAGATGTTCAACTGGTCCATGATCTCTTACGTACACACATGACTTACAATGATAGTACTAAAAGTGAAACGATCGAGTGTGGTCTTATCACTGAAGGAGTGTGGACAAACAAATGTGAATACAGCAATCCCAACGCTATGGGAGACACAAAAATCATCTGCGATAAACCAAAAGGTCTACAATGCGATCAAGTACACCATATGCATGGTTCAGGTAAAATGCTGGATGACATTATAAAAAAACAATCTGAAGGTTATCAATACCTATTTAGCAGGTAAGAAACGGCATGGCATGGTATGGCATGGTATGATTACGGTACGGTACTTTATAATATGATATGTGGTTCTGTTTATACAGCATGGCGTGGATTTCGTTTGTACGTTCATTCCATTCGTAATAACATTATAAATTTATAGTGCAGTTCAAATTAAGAAAACAAATGTATCATGGCTTATAAAGAGGGAAAACTGTAAACTGAACAAATTATATTAAAGTTGAAAAAAAAAACAAGATTCACAACTGTCTTATAACCGATAACTCGGGAATGTATAGTATGTTGGGCCAATGCTCTGATAACGCTAGAAGACTGTTCAAAGGTGGCCGAAAGACGCTTGACAGTCAACAGAATGGGTTGGCAGTCGATGATTTGATAGACCAACATTTACAAAACACTTACACAAACGTCTCGACCAGAAGTGTACGCATCGACTTTCTCTAGTTAGCCCAGTATTCTACTAGTCTTGCAATGTCCCCATAAAAAATATCAAAGAATAATGTGAAATGCAAGCGTGCGAAATTTCAGTTTCCACGCGGTTTCTAATAAATTATCGAGACGAACCTAACTCCATTTTTGATCTTATCACTGATTGGTGTTTTATTAAATGGCCATGTCAATCATTGCATCACGCCCATTACCAATGCCGCAACAGGTCGTCTACCAGAGTAATACGTCCCTCAATTATTTCGCCATAAACACAGTACACTCTCATGACCTACTATTTTATTGAAAAAAACACCAACAATTAAACATTACACTGTATGCAAGTCCACTTATTGGAAATTACAGCATAATATACATGTTGCAATGAAGAATGTGCAATCATACTGTGCAATTATATATTGACTCGTTCCATTTGTATGATATTGGACCACGGTTAATTAGCAATTCGATACAGGCGGCTTGAGCTATCACCTTTTTATTACTGAAAGTTGCAGAATTTAATCATGCCCGGAAGCAAACTGTTACCAAATTAAAATATATTTAAAATACACTTTGAAGACAAAAATACAATTTGAACACCGTCTTAATGTCAAAAATTAGACAATAAGGAAATTTGAAATAGCTTATTGTCTTTATTTCAGGGTACTACTTATAAATGCATAATTGTGTCTATTCAGTCTGTTTTCTCATTGAACTACACTACTAACATGAACACATTGCCAAAGAGACACTTTTGACGATAAACAGTTGCAGTCAATTATATCCTACAAAACAACACCAATTATGCAACTCCATAAATTGAAAGAGAGGGCGTTAGAACAATCAGATACATATGCTTAAAATTAGCTGGTAATACGTAGATTTGAGAGTAACGAATATAACAAATTCGTTTTAAATCTACCTAATTTGAGGCATTGACAGAGCTATTATGATCAAGATGTGAAATTAATGGATTCAAAACATATTTCTAACACATTTGTGCTCGGGTAGTTGGTAGAGTGGTGACATTTGCTACATTGATCAGTGCGTAACATTTGACGATGTATTAATTACCTTGTCTATACAATCGCACGATAACTTGGAGCTTCACCATGGGCTCACTGTACCTTTTTCATTTTCACTACATAAAGACAAATTTGCTAAAACGTGTCAGCAGCAATTCTAGTTGTTATTTGTATTATTGCATTACTTGTCTGTATTGAAATGTTTGTGAGATATTTGTGAGTGAGTTATCATAACAGTTAAATGACAAAGTTGTAAAAAACTTGTTAATGTTTTTCGTGCCATGTATGTGTTTTCCACCTCAATTAGAATTTGAATCAAAATCACAGTGTTACATAGACATCCACAAAAGTATTTCCTTCTATACATCTTTTTGCAAGGAATGTTTTGCTAGTATTTCAAACTGATACCAGAATAAGCACGTTTAATTTTGTGAGTGGAATGTTAGTTTTGATACATTTAGAGTGAGTACTTGGTTTGGTAAATCTTCCATTGTCGTGTATATATGTATATATAAAGTGTTTAATTATAGCAGGAGACCTATACTGCAACACAGTAATAATAAATTAACATTACATTTTGCGTTTTGCAGGAGATATACTAACGGGATTATTCACGGCATGCCATTATCAATAAAGATATTAGGTTAGTACATGGTTTAGATGTGTGTGGAGATGTAAGCGCCCTAATTAACATGTATTCTTGATTAAATTTTTACTTGGAATAATCGTGCCAAACGGCGTATATGTTCAATCACCTTATGCTGTATATCTGCTGTGACATTATCGTCAAATCCAATTGAATGAGAGTAAAAAAACTGTGTCGATATTACGAGACACTATTCAAAATCAGTATATTGGAGTAAACAAAGCTTAATAATATAGTATTGTGCAGGTGGGTTTAATACTGATACGTATTGTTTGCGCAAACACAATATGTCGAAAGAATTGACGAGTGTATATGAATGATTATTATATTCACCTGGTGAAAGTATACAAATTTTATTGCTATTTGTGTAAGGATATGCCCACATTGATCCCATGATGTATCACACACATTCCCCATTTGAATTGCATATTTGATAGTTATGTTGTCGTTAATTTTTCAGATTCTAAATCACCTGAATTAGACATACCTCTGTGTGGTCCTGATCTACCCGTTCCTTTAT